AAAAGCAGAGACATTACTTTGCCAACAAAAGTCCATCTAGTCAAGGCTATGGCTTTTCCAGTAGTCATGTATGGATGTGAGAGTTGAACAAAAAGGAAAGCTGAGTGCCGAAGACTTGATGCTTTTGAACTGTGGTGTTGGAGAAGACTCTTGAGAGTCCCTTGGAGAGCAAGGAGATCCAATCAGTCCATCCTAAAGGAAATCAATCCTAAATAAATATTCACTGGAAGAACTGATGCTGAAGTAGAAGCTCCAATTCTTTGGTTACCTGATGTAACCAAAGAACTAACTCATTGAAAAGACCCTGATGCTGGGAAAGATTGAAGGCAGGAGAAGGGGATGGCAGAGGATGAGATGTTTGGATGGCATCACTGCCAGGATGGACATGAGTTTGAGCAAGCTCCGAGAGTTGGGGAAGCCTGGCATGCTGCAGTCCATGGGGTTGCAAAGAGTCGGACATGAACTGAACTGAAGTAAAAGAATAGTAGGCTCGATAATTCTTGTTTGATTGCTCACTTAGTTAACAACCTTGTATCATTAAAAAAAAAGTCACTGCTATTATGAAGTCAGTAGTGGTACTGTGAGGGGGAGCAGAGATAAGCATTAGCATTGCAAAGAACCAAGACTGAGTCTGTTGAAAGGGCCAATTTATTAATCATCAGTGCATTGCTTCCTTATAATCTGGGATTCAGTTTATAGCAGAAATTATTTATTGTTCTTAATCCTGCTTGACTATGAGGAAGTTTGTCCTCAAGACTGGGCTACTACAAAAACATCAAAGCATTTGTACTCACATTTATACTCCCATTTCTTTTTTCTAATCTCTCTCCTTCTGTGTCTCACTTATCTGTACCAGTAGATATGATGTTTAGAAACTTCTGTTCCTTATAAATGTATCTGATGTCAAATGGATTCTGAATAAGATCAGAGCAAGCAAATAAGGCCCAGTCAGCAGAACTCTTCATGTCCTATGGGACAAATATCAAGCATTTACATTTATTAGTGCCTAGAAACATTTTCTCATTATTTGGTGTATGCTGATGGTGAATCACTCTGTCATGTCCGACTCTGTGTGACTCATGGACTGTAGTCCACAGGCTCCTCTGTCCATGGGATTCTCCAGGAAAGAATACTGGGGTGGGTTGCCATTTCCTTCTCCAATTTTGATGTATAAATTTGTGCTATTTAGGTCAGATATGCTCAATTTCTGAGGCTTTCCACATGGTGCTAGTGGTAAAGAACCTGCCTACCAATGAAGGAGATGTAAGAGACGCAGGTTTAATCCCTGGGTCAGGAAGATGTCCTGGAGGAGGCCATGGCAACGCCCCCCAGTATTCTTATTTGGAGAATCCCACATCAGAGGAGCCTGGAAGGCTTTTGTCCATAGGGTGGCAAAGGGTCAGGCACGGCTGAAGTGACTCAGTACAGCACAACACATGTTCACCTTCTATCTAAAAGCTTTAATTTTCCACAATATACAGTGTAAGTGTTCAACTATGTTTTGAAAGATATATATGTAATACTCTGCCTTCTTTGGCTCAGTCCTGAAGGTACATATAAAAGTCACAACTTTTATCACATTACCCCTGATTTTTAAGTAATAGCCGTCAGAATTGTCCCTAGTTATGAATATTTGAGGTCTTCATGGCAAAGTTGAATGACAGTAGAGAGAAAACCATCAGAGTGGGCAAAGATTTTTAGAATGATGGAAAAGATACCTTTCAAAAGGTGAAAAAGAAATTTCCATGGGAGACTGAAAAATTAAATCTAGCATTCTTAAGACATTTTATTAATTCAGTTCAATTAGTTTAATTCAATTAATTCATCAATCATGAATATTGGATTTGATTCTTTAAAGCTTCTCTTAACATTCCCTTTTTGAATCTAGCTTAAAGTATAGTCTGGTTCCTTAGATGTTGTTGTTGGCTTTATATTGTTTCAATCATGCATTCTTTCAGCAAGCATTTATTGTTACTCCATACCTAAGGCTTTAAGTTGTGGCAGAAATCTGTCTCAGTGACTTGATTCAGCATGCTGTTGTGATCCTCGTGTCTAAGTCTCAGGTCTGTATGTCTGGTAGGCTGAGTCACCAACTGTGAATGCTAGTATATTTTTCTTCCTTTGTTCTTTATGATAGTTCATAAGGAAAATAATGCTGTGACTTTAATGCCATTTTTTTTTGTTTGTGTGGGGAACTGGGGGTAATGGTGGGTGACTGTAACTATCCCTATGTGATCTCCTGAAGGTGAAAGTAGCTGGCACAGAACTGAAAGGAAGGCAGGAAGAAACTCTGCTTCCTTAATCTCTAAGATGAGTGTGTTATGAGCTAAAAATTGAATTCATTGGCTTTATATAATTGTAATTCAAACCAATCTACAAGAACTGCTTATATCTAAATGATGATGGAGTGCTAAAGTTATCATTATTGTTTATAAAAGACATCATAACTATAATTAACTCATATTGAACTGCCTTTTTGTTAACGACATTGCCAAAAGTCACACTTGGATGCATTTGGCTCCTTTAAGTGAGCAACATGTGATTGAATGAGCCCTTCAAAAGATTCTTTTTGAGTATAATTTAATACAGAGTTTGCTATAAATCATTGACAAGAGCAGTATGATTGCAGCATTTACTTTTATATAGTTTTTATTTAAATTAAGGAGAGAGTCTGTATAAAAGAGAAATTAATTCTTGAAAATATAGTGGGATCTGAAGAAAGATTGAAGAGAATAAATATTGTTCACTTTTCAAAATGAATTATTTTTTTTATTTTTTAATTGAAATATAATTGCTTTACAGAATTTTGTAGGTTTCTGTCACACATCAACATGAATCAGCCATAGGTATACATATGTCCCCTAGTTTCTGTTGCATGGCACTGCTATTTTCTACAATAAAGGAATAAAACTTGCAACTATTAAGTATCAATGTGTATATATATATGTATGATGTGATGTGTGTCTGTATGCTCAGTTGTGTCCGATTCTTTGCGACTCCATGGACTGTAGCCCACCAGGCTCCTCTGTTCATAGGATTCTCCAGGCAAGAATACTGGAGTGAGTTGTCATTTCCTTCTCCAGGGGATCTTCCTGACCCAGGGACTGAAACCACGTTTCCTGTCTCCTGCGTTGGGAGGCAGATTCTTTACCGCTGAGCCACCTGGAAGCCCATATATGTGTATACACATGCACATATGTATGTGTACATAGGTGTGTATACAATATACATATATAGTGATTGGATAAGTTATTGGATAAATTGTTGGCTATATGATATAGGGAATCTGTGGATAAGCTGTGACTTCATTTACCAACTATAAAATAGTCTGTGAAAGCCCAATTTTAGAAAATGAAACATTTGATAGAAATTTGAAGAACTTACTCTCCTCAACAAAAATATTCTTTTATCAAAGAAGAGGTGAATGGATACTGGTGTACACCCAGATCTGAACCACAGAAAGTAAGGGAAGACAAAGGATAACCTGCAGTGGCGCTGCAGGTAGCCCCGCGTAGTATTGAGAAGTCCAGTAAGTAATCAGGGTCAGAAAGATCCTGATTCTTTCATGTCAGACACCGGGATTACTGTATAAGAGAGATAAAACATTAATAAAAAAGAGGCATATCCTCATACTCCAGTTGGGGATTAAAATAGACTTCCTTTCAAGACTTGATGATGTCATAGTCCTCATCTTTAAGGAAAAATTAATTCCTACATGGTTAAAAACAAGAATTTTGAAAGACCTGGGTCAGGAGAAAGAATGAGAATAAAAGGAAATTCAGGTGCAAAGATTAAAAATTCATTACTTCTGTTTCTTTGAAACAAGGCTCAATGATTTGGCCTGTAAAACCTAGTTATTTAATCATTTTGACTGATTTCTTTATATTGCAAGGAACAAAAGTTTATAATATGGCTTTTATCACCTAGGGAGTCTAGTCCTAGATTTAGTAATGCTAAGTCCTGAGCCCCACCTCTGGGGATTTGGAGGCAGTACAGCTTTGATGCAGTCTAGGTCTCTAGTTAGTAAAATGCCAAGGTGGTTTTATTCCCAATCTAAAGAGTTTTCTTATCTTAGTTATTGGATTTGGGGGAGGAAATAGCCATTGTGTTAGAGTAGGCACACTAGAAGAGTGAAAAGCAACACTGGAAAGGCATCATCATAGAGATAATTTGTTTTAAGAGTAACATTAACCCAATAACAGCCTGAGCAAGTTTCATACCACGTACTTTACTAACCATCTGTTACTCAATTATAATTTTTACTGCTCATACTTTCTTTTTGCCCAACTTTCCTCCTTTATTCAAAAGATTTTTTTAGTTGCATGAGTTACTAGTATTTTATACTAATGAAGTTGTCAAAAAGTAAAAACTGCCCATTTAAAATATCAGCTTATTTTCTTATCCTGTATACTTACCTGATTTTTCTTATCCTTTATCAACTAATGTTTTCCATTTCTCTACAATTTTCTGTGACCTGTTGATTGACCTGTTCAAATTATTTGCACATTCAGTCACTGCAAACAATTTTGTATTATCATCATCCCGTATCTGGTCTTTTCTCCATATTTATTGCCTCCCCCAACTCCCACTATCATTTAACATTTTCTCAATGGAATGTAAGCCACTTGACGGCAGCAATTTACATCCATGTAATGCTTTTCTGTTACATATTATAATATTTTGGCATTTGGGTAGATAAAGTGAAAATCACATATATATTTATATGTAGTTGAATTTCATTTTTGAAATAAGCTAAGTAATAATTTTACCTGTTTTTCACAAAGGCCTTAAAGGATTGTCTAGTATTAAAGTTTGTTGTCTGTCCCCAACTGATGATATTTCAAAGTAAAGGGCAGTTTCTTAAGTTAAAATTTTATTTCATAATCAAAAGCATAGGGTTCATGTGGTTGTTTTATTAAAAGTAATTGCTGCTGCTTCTTATTTCATTCCCAGCTTATCAAATTGAATAGAAATTAACTTTCTTGTCAATTTATACTTACCATAATTCCAAAAGCTTAAAAGGTAGATAATCATGAACTGTCATTCTCTGAACCCAATGACCTACATATTTAGAAGAAATCGAATAAACAAATTCAAAATATAAGAATCCTAAAATATACTACAAAACTAAAAGCCAAGTTAGTTTTACATTTGCAATATGGGTTATCTTAAAAAAAAAAAAACTTCACTTTCTAATCAAAGAAATACATAACTATAAAATTAACCAATTAACATTTATTTAAAAAGTTGCCTCAGCTTATTCATAGGGAAATAATTTATTTTCTGTCCCAAAAATATATATCCCCTCCTCTCAAAAAAATTCTAACTTCTGAATAATGTGATTATAGCTTTAACCATTTTACGAGAAATACTCTGAGATTTTAGTAAGCGTTAATTATGATTTTTTCTTGGAAAAACTTTAGCCATGCATTTAAGAAAAAGCAATTCATTTATGTGAAGTTCTGTTACCAGACATAGAATCATTCCCTTTATTGCCTAATATATGTTCAGTTTCATGTCTAGTTAGAACATAAGGCATGATAAAGACAACTGGCAAAAGAAATCATATAGTTATTTTATGCAGCTGCCTGTTATAAGGAAGTTCATAAACTCCATATTCTGTTGAGCATAAGTGTGTGGCCCAGTGGACATCTGGTTCTCCATACAATTGTCAGAGATATTCCAATTCCATTTGTGTTTTAAGCAATCCAGATGTCCTTCAACGGGTCAATAGATAAGTGTTACATCCATACAACAAAATGCTTCAAGGAATTTTAAAAAAGAACTACTGATACACATGAATGAATCTCAGAGGCAGTATTCTAAGTGGAAGAAGTTATATCTTAGAGGCTGTGTAAAATATGTTTCCATTTATGTTAATATGACAGCCTTGAAATGGCAAAAGTATAGAAACAAAAAACCGATTAGTCAGTGAGCCCAAGAAACTAGACTGGAAGAAGGGTTTGTCTTCAAAAGATCATGAGGGCATTTTTTCAGCTACTCTACACCTTGATTGTTGGAAATGTTAATGTTATTGTGTGTGTTATACCTGTAAAAAAAAAGCACTAACTGAGAAGAATAGAACAACTTTGATACTACATTGATAATGTGCAAGTACAAGTGAGGTAACTGCAAGCATATGACACAATAGTATTGATTATATAAATAATTACCAATCAATAAGAATAAGCAACAATAACAGCAAAAAAATCTAAATAAAATTTGCATGAATGATATTAACATAACATTCACAAAAATGAGTATCCAAATGGTCAATAAACAAGTGAAAATATGCTCAGCTTCACTTTGAATCTGAGCATGACATAATATAGCAACAATGAATTTCTCCTGCTAGAAGAGTCAGATGATAAATGTGTTAGTGAGGATGTAGAGGCTTTAAAGAGTATGAGAGGAAAATGTATTCTTACACAGCAGGGCAAGTTTCAAAAATGATACTCCTTTTGAAGAGATATCCTTCCCTGTCTAGTAACACTGAAAATAAGAATACCAGGCATTCAGAAATTCTGCAAAATAGTGAAAATTGAAATAATTATTTGGGTTAGTTACAGTTGCAGTTGTCTAAGAGTTGTCAGTATTGTATACAAAATATTCATCAGAGCATATTTATACCAGGAATAATTGGAATCACCAAATCAGATGCTATTTAAAATGTTTCTGATTCTAATATCCTTAATATTGATTGAGTTTCCTCATCAGTAATAGGAAAATTGTAATTTAATTATTTCCTGGTGTCATCTGGAATAAAATATTTAATCTGTACCTAGAACACTGTAGGTATGATCTGATACTGATTATAATCATTGATACTCATCTTTAAAGGTCAGATAAAAATGGGAAAGAATTTTACATGACCAAAAGTGAGAATAACTACAGTTTACTCCTTTGATTCTATAGGAGTAATTTTTTAACCTTTCTTAAAGCCCCAGTGGTATCTACTTTAATAGAGTAGCTAGGATCTTCAACCTCACCTAACTATGGATTCTTTTCAGTAGGTGTCAGCAGGGGTCGGTATCTGCTTTGATATCCAGCGCCAGTTCATTCGAACCTCAATACAGTTTTGAATGGGATTGAAACATTGTATAATTCAGTTACATCTTACTGTAAAACCACAGAAGTTTACTCATTTCTAACTTAAACCTTGAATTAGTAAAATATAATCCTTCTTGAGTATCATGTTGCCATCAAGGAGAAGATTGTTACAATATGCAACCAACTTCCTCCAACTTAGTAACTGCTGTGCACTTTTGTGAAAGCTTTATTTTGTTTGGCGTATGAAACCCAAATTTCTTCTGCACTCTAGTACCATATTCAGAATTTCAAATGCCCATAGAAGGACACTGGGGGCTTCCCTACCTGCAACGCAGAAGATCTGGGTCCGATCTCTGGGTTGGGAAGATCCCCTAGAGGAAGGCATGACAACCCACTCTAGTATTCTTGCCTGGAGAATCCTATGGACAGAGGAGCCTGATAGGCTGCAGTCCATGGGCCTCACAAAGAGTCGGACATAATCGAGCAACTAAGCACGCAGAAGGACATTCCAAATTCCAAATTCTACGTATTTACTCTTATTGGCATTTTTTAGTTTACATTTTTTCTAATGACTCTATAAGATTTAGAAAGTATGATGATGGCTCATTTGCTTATGTCATATTCTTTCTTGTGACTCCATGGACTGTAGTCTGCCAGGCTCCTCCGTCCATGAGATTTACCAGGCAACAATCCTGGAGTGGGTTGCCATTTCCTTCTCTAGGGGATCTTCCCAACCCAGGGATCAAACCCAGATCTTCTGTAATGCAGGCAGTTTCCTGCTTAAAACTTATTTTTTTTTTTTTCTGAGCTATTTAGATTGTATACCTATACTTTTCAAATACCTATTGGCCTGAACTTGTCCAATTCTACTTCCTGCAAGTTATTTTTGATAAACATAACATTATCCAAGATAGAAGAAAATAAAGGAAGAATTTAGTTACTGAGTAAGCTGGAGAGTACAGCTAGTGAATATTATGAGTATAAGAGTTACTGTTAAAATGTGTGCATCTTCAAGTGCTCAGGCCTGGTGCACTGGGAAGACCCAGAGGGATCGAGTGGAGAGGGAGGTGGGAAGGGGGACCGGGATGGGGAATACATGTAAATCCATGGCTAATTCATTTCAATGTATGACAAAAACCACTGCAATGATGTAAAGTAATTAGCCTCCAACTAATAAAAATAAATGGAAAAAAAATGTGTGCATATTTGAAAATGATAGGAGTTGCTAACCAGGCCAGACATAGGACAATTGGTGTAAAAAACTGAGATTGTCCTGGGCAAATGGAGACAAATATTTATAATAGTGATAAATAATTCACCACAACCACATACAGATTCTGTAAATTTATTGCAAAGGTGCCCCAGCTAAAGTGTCCCATATTCTGATGCATATATTTGCACCTTTAGGGGAACACTTTCTCATTTATTTCACTCAATTACATTTATTAAGTTTCAGGATAGGAGCTGGATACTGGGGATCAGCACTGAAGGACACAGACCCCATGTTTGCTCTCAGGGCATCCATCTCAAGCTTTCCTGTTTAATATCAATATTAACATTTAATGGTATTTTGAATGTCTCAGCATTTAGCACACATAAACTATAACTAAGCTGTCCTATTTAGGTGGAAATGTGTAGTAAAACTGATTTTACAAAAAACAGAATTTAAAGATAAGTCTACACTTTCCAATGCTTCATGCCTTTAGAACTCCTCTTCAGAGAAAAACTGATAAAGTCTAAGAACATCTTTAAATTATAATAGTAATAAGTGAATAAGGTCATTAATCTGTGGAACTATCCTTAAAAACTGTGGAAAATTCTTAAAGAGATCGAGTACAAGACCACCTGAACTGTCTCCTAAGAAACCTGTATGCAGGTCAAAAAGCAACAGAACCTTACCTGGAATAACTGAATGGTTCAAACCTGAGAAAGCAGGATGGCAAGGCTGTCATTGTCACCCTGTTTATTTAACTTATATGCAGAGTACATTATGCAAAATGCTGGGCTGGATGAATCACAGGCTGGAATCAAGACTGCTAGAAGAAGTATCAACAACCTCAGATATGCAGATAACACCACTAATGACAGAAAGTAAAGAAGAACTAAAGAGTCTTTTGATGAAGGTGAAAGAGGAGAGTAAAAAAGCTGGTTTAAAACTCAACATTCAAAAAACTAAGATCATGGCATTCTGTCCCATCACTTCATGACAAACAGAAGGGGAAAAATGGAAGCAGTGACAGATTTTATTTTCTTGAGCTCCAAAAGCACTGCAGACAGTGACTGCAGCCATGAAATTAAGAGAGACTTGCTCCTTGGAAGGAAAGGTATGACAAACCTAGACACTTTGCCGACAAAGGTCTGTAAAGTCAAAGCTATGGTTTTTCCAGTAGTCATGTATGGATGTGAAAGTTGGACCATGAAGAAGGTTGAGTGCCAAAGAATAGATAGTTTCAAATTTTTGTGCTGGAGAAGACTGTTGAGAGTCCCTTGGACTGAAAGGAGATGAAGCCAGTCAATCCTAAAGGAAATCAACCCTGAATATTCATTGAAAGGACTGATGCTAAAGTTGAAGCTCCAATATTTTGGCCACCTGATGCGAAGAGCCAACTCATTGGAAAAGACCCTCATGCTGGGAAAGACTGAAGGCTAAAGAAGGGGGCAGCAGAGGATGAGATGATTAGATAGCACCACTGACTCAACGGACATGAATTTGAGCAAATTCTGGGAGATAATGAAGGACAGAGGAGCCTGCATGCTGCTGTCCATGGGGTTGTAAAGAGTCAAACACAATTTAGCAACTGAATAACAACAACAGACTTTCCCTGATGCTGGGAAAGATTGAAGGCAGGAGGAGAAGGGATGACAGAGAACAAGATGTTTGGATAGGATCACCGACTCAATGGACATGAGTATGAGCAAATTCTGAGAGATGGTGAAGGACAGGGAAGCCTGGACTGCTGCAGTCCATGGGGTGGCAAAGAGTCGGGTGTGAATGAATGACTGAACAACAGCAACAATCCTTAAAAAACAAAATGTCGTATCAAGTGATTCAAGGAAATAATGACTGAATGTAAGGGCAGAAACTGGAAAACAAAAACTATAATATTATTACAGTTAAGTTTCCTTATAATATGTTGAAAAAGATATTTAAAATGTCCACTTCCTTCTTCTCCCCAGAATCATTTCACATATATTATACACAGGTCCTGATTTGTTTTCTAAATTGTCAGAAACAATCATTTTTCATATCTGTGTTCATCAACGATAACGAACATATCTATTCAAATTCTTCCATATTTGATCAGAAATATCCAAGTATTGCCTCAGTCAGAACAGTTTCTTAACAACAAAAATAACAACAGTGAACAAGACAAGACAAAACAAAACACACACACGAAACACGTTGCTTACTGTATGAATAGAACACGCATCAATGCCTCGTTTGTTGAGGATACCTCAACTTAGTCCTGCATAGGTCACTGATTGGCAGTGGTTATTTACTTAACTTTTCCTCATTGGACATTATTTATGTGTGTGAACAGGCTCGAATAAGCCTCTAAACATTCTCCCAACTTGAACATTTGCACAGTGTGTAACTTTAGCATTGTAATAGAATTTCTCAACTTCTTTCCCATTGTTTTTGTTTTTTTGTATGTTTTCCAGCTCTAGTTTTCTAATTTTCTCTCTTCTTTCTTTCATAGAAAAGCTTATGAAGAAATAGATTTAATGCCTTTTTCCACATCTAAAACTTTCACTAATACCTCAGTTCTCTAATGTGTCTCTTCTATTACTGTTTAACTAATATTATTATTTTTTACGTCACCAAAGACCTTGTGTTACTACCCCAAGATAACCATCTGAATGCTTATCACACTTAAGCTCTCTGCAATGCCTTTTGGGGCATTGTGTCTATTTTGAAGTTCTCTTCATCATGGTCTTTCAAGATAATACCTTCTTTTTATTTATTTTTTTAAATTTATTTTTTGCTTCTCTGGTCACTCTATTTAATTTTTTTCTGTCATCTTTAATATTGGTATTTCACATATTCATGTTAAACGTTTACTTTAATTCTAAAGTTATAACATTTCATCCATATCCATATGTTCAATTTACACTTATGTTCATAAATTGCTATCACTAAACCAAATCTTTTTTAGATTCTGCTTTACCACATACACAGAAAATATTTACCTAAATATCCAACAGATATCTTAAAATCAACAAGTAAAAAATATCAACATGTAAAATAGACCACTTTATTCCCCCAGGCCCAATATTTCCCTCCTGAGGTGTCCCTTATCACTGTATATGGTACTTAATTGCCCGAATCTTTAAATTCTATCAATTTTGTGTCCTTAAAAAATTCTCAAACTATTCTTTTCTCTTTATATTCATTATAATAACTTTGAGATACTCATGATTCTTTGTGTCTATGTGTGTCTGTGTTATTCTTTGTATTTATTTGTTAATAATGTAATTGCCCTAAGAAACTAGTCTCTTGTTTCTTACCCTAACCACTGTATCAAATGCTGACTTAGGTTGAGCTTTCTGAAACAATGAACTTATTTTAGTTCTTATCTTCTTGGCATCCATCAATATTGTTTTGACTTTTAAGATAAGGTCAGAATTAGTTAACATAGAATAGGAACCTTTCAGATTTCACTCCTGTCCACCTATTCTCATTATCTCACTGCATAGCATACTGTAATTAACTACTTATTTATTTCTTCCTTTGAACCATGAGTCCCTTGATGATGGGGTCTGTGAAATATCTCCTGAGCCCCAACTCCTAAAATGTGTCCCACCTCCAAAAATGTGTCCCACATCTAAAGTATGTTAAAAATGTTAATTATATAAGTTATTTTTTAATTAAAAGATACATTATCAAGCTTACTCAAAGTACAATTAGGCTCCTACTATTCTGAGTGTTACATAGAATAATATTTCTATCAAAGAATTAGAAAACAAAATTCTAATCTTGAATCCCTTACTAATTATTTGTGCAACTTGCACCAAGTCACATAACTTGCCTGGGCTTCAGTTTCTTTCTTATGAAATGATTTTGTATTGTTAGATGATTTCTCCAGCCTATTCTAGTTTCAACTTTCTGTGCAACCTGGTACTGTTCCATGGTCATAATTTAATGAGACACATTAACTTTTCAGGCCTCTAAGGAATAATTTCCTTAGCACTCAAACATAGTGTTCCACCCTAGTGTCTGTCCTATATCTAAGTATGCTTTGCCCCTGGGAACATAAGCCCAGGATGCTGCCACAGCACAGCATATTTCCTCATTTCCATTGGTCTTATATAAAGGGAAAAAATGGTGTCATAACTCCAGTGGATTTATTTCCTGCTAACTTTA